CTGAATTTAAATTATGTGTTAGTATTCTCTTATGCTGCAGCTAGTCACTGTTCAAAAGCAGGTCAATGTTCAGCAAAATGTATTACATATTAGTATCTTGGGTTGCAATAAAAAGAATTGCTCCACTTCTTATCTACTGATTGTGTATGTGCATCAGTTTATCTGGTGGATCTTGAAATGTCGCCAATTCCAGTGTAGTAAGAGGTAATTAGGGCATCTTAGTAAAGTTGTCACTAAGAAATCTACTTTCTTCTGTTGACTGATCTGCCTAACGATACTGGAAGAATTAATTGAGTCAGTGGAGATAAATGGCTCTGCACTGACCATGAAGTGACTTTCAAACCATTGATTTGTCGCTTATCTTGGCTAATAAGATGTTGTTGCTGGCAATGGTTGTTCAGACCTAAGCCACTTTGTGTTACCTTTTGTCATGAGAAGTTTCTCTTTTATGGAGCAATGTGACTGTACTGGTGTTTATCAAGTTTGAAGTGATAAAAAATTGTTATAGAGTAGGATTTGATGCCTTACTGGGATACTATTTGATTTCCAAGTAGCCAAATGTCTGCTGTACAAAAGGCCTAAATAACGATTTAAACACCTATATGTTAATTGATCTTTCTTTCTTTCGTGGATAATATTGCCTTTATTTGTGTTTTCCAATTTTATAATCTTTCCTAGGAACACTACGTGGTTGACAAAGGTATAAGTACAATATAAAATGACACATTTAGAAAAGGTAGGTATTTCTAAAGAAGGTTTAAGTGCTCATGAAGGTGAAACATTAAATATAGCACAGTGAGGAGCTTTCAGTGGTTGAAAAGCACTGCAAGAAGTGAAAGTGACATTCAAATACAATAAGTGAAGGTTTCCCTTCTGCACTTTGTGTTCGAAGACACTCATTTAAATTATAAACTTCATTACTTTCCTCTATGGTGCATTTCATTTAAGAGGTGAGGTGCAGGTGCTGAATTGATGGAATGCACTGAAAGACATTTCAGCATTTTATCTTTTCATAATGCAGCAGAGGCAGCCATGACACCTAACCCAGATAAATACTATAATTATCAGTTCTGCCTCTCACCGCTCACCCGTCTGCCGATCGTCTGTCATATCCATCATGCCTACACAAACACATGCATGCACACAGGGTTTTGATGTGTCAAATCTGTATCAATCACGGCAAGTCAAAGTGAGATTTAGTGCAGCATCCTGCTGGGGCAACCACACTGTGGGAGAGTCCATATTAAACTGTCAGCTGAAGTGGGCCAGATTGTGTTAGGCCAGTCTATCCATTCATCTGCGCTAATGGTTTTTTATGCCTCCATCCATTTCATGAATGGAAGGGTGGTGAGGAGAGAGGAGGACAGGTCCCTGGAGACGAACAGAGGTGAGGAGAGTAGGGAATGAAGAAAAATTGAAAAGTTGGAAAAAAGAAAGCAACTAAATGATTATATAAATAATAGAGATGTGAACAAAAGCATAGCAGAGGAAAAAAGCAATCACAGACATGGCGTATATAGAAAAAATATGTGGTAAGCTTTGGCACATAATGAAATTAGGTAATTTTGTTCACTATATACAATTAACTACATTCTTATTTCAACATTTGCCACTGTTTTAAATGAGCAAGCTCACAGCTTCTTTTTTAATAGCAATATGGACAAAACAAGGGCTAATGAAATGAAACTGGATGCCACGTACAACAGCTAGCAGAAGCTCTACTAACAAGGCTGTATGGTAATGAGCTTGAGGAGGTGAAAACACACATGCATGAGTGGACACACCCACCCCTCCTCACACACAGATACACATTACCTCAACAAGCTCTCATTTTGCAATGACCACTTTTAAGAGTTTGTTGCTATGGCAACACCGTGATTTATTTCCCAATTAAGAGTTAGTGAACTTGTTCGCTTACAACCGCTAATATCACTGCACATAAATTACCTTCAATGCAGTCTATTTCCTATTAAAAACAAAGCAACATCACTATCTTGCATCCTCTAAACGAGCAAACTTCTGTACAAAGAGTTTGCTTTCTTGTGAGTTTATTGTACAGAAACAAATATTCTGTAATAATTTTGTGCTACTTCTAATTGGCAATTATTGTGTTTGCAAAAAAAAGGATGAAATTCAGCACGTTTCACATCCAGTAACAACTTTTTTTCATCCATCTAGCTAAAAATGAAGATAAACAATATATGGATGGATGAGAGGTTCAGTAGGCAGGTGGGAATGTAATGGAATCAATTAGGCAAACAGTTGTGATTTATATTCTGTGTTGATAACAAAGAAAGCTTAATTTAGTTTATCTTGCCTCCGTCCTGCTATCATTTATTTTTCATGTTTATGATGATAACATATAAATCCTTCTTCCTTTTCATGAAAAAGTGAACACCGGTGCCTGTGTCTCTGTTTCTCCGTGTCAATGGAGAAACTGCAGGAGTAACTGTTCTTACTATTCTTAATACAGACTGCAAAATGTAAATGCACATATCAGTGTGACTATATAAAAACAAAGACAATGACAATGAATTTCTATGTGTCATCATGTTAGCACGAACAATCTATGGATCTGTAATGGAAAAAAGACCCTTGCTTGCTTAAGATTGCAAATAACATTCTTCTGTAATGAAACCCCTCTGTTCCTCGTTCTGTTTTCTATTTCCCTCATTCTCTCCCACTCTTATCCCTCCTCGCTGCAGTGTTCTTGAGAAGTAGAACTTGTCTGGCCCTCATTAATGTCCTTGGCATTCGCTTGGCTTTGCATCTCTCTCCCCAGCCTCTTACAGCTTCATCCCACATTCTAGCCATGCCATCCTTGTAGCCGCAACACTAGCAGGCTTCAACTGCAATTAGTACTTGTGTCATCACACATTCACAAGCACACACACACACACACACCGTAGAAGCATTTAGGTCGAGATATTTTTTGTGTGCACTTCCACCCTTTCCATTCTTTAACCCTGCAGCCCTTTCAATAATGATGGACTTGTTGGACAATAATTAGACTGAGTTAATAAGCATTCAGCTGGTCCAGGAAAACAAGGGGATGCTGTGTTCCCTTCCATTAATGCTTTATTATAGGCCTATCTACTTTAAACTCAATGGAAGACTGACAATATGTAGCACCAGTGGGGTATTATCTTATTTTGTGACAGGTTTATCATTGGCTGTTGTTGAAAGAATGCGGAAAGGGTTGCTTGCTGTTTAGGCATAATAGTACTGTGGTGATTAGGTAAGATAAAGTTCCTCATAAACACTGATCAAAGTTTGCTTTTCTTTGTGTGATGTGCTGTACTGGAAGCCGGCCATAAAAGGAATGTGTACTGCACAGTGTTGATAAGTTCTATCGCTCTGTACAATCTGATACTGTTTGTGGCATTAGCTTGCAAAGGCTACAAATTGTCACAGTATCTCATTAGCTGCAGTATGGCTCTTTCTTTTGGAGCCATACTGCAGCCCTATCACAGAATTCGGAAAACTAGGCAAAGTCATTACCGTTTACACTTTTTCAATCTCTTCAATCTTTTCATGTTCTGAGATCACTCCTTTATCCCTCACATTCTATTTTTCATCACAACTTTATCCTCATTCATACCCTCAAACACTCTTTAAACTTGAGGAAATGAGACCCACGTCTTTTGGAGACAAAAAAAAAATGAAGTAGGGTCTGGGGTGATCACCAGAAAGTTTTTGACACGAAAAATCACCCTTAAGCTGGTGTTGAATGTTTTAGAGCGAGCTGGTCTCTTATTCTTAGGGGGATAAGACAGCTCCCGTGTCTGCTTGTCTGCCGGGGCTTTGGAGGTAGAGGAACGGCTGCTACCTCTTTTGCTCTCCCCTCTCATCTCTTCACACTAATTAGAGAGAACTGGTTTTAAATCTTAGTGTGGACACACATCCTCGCCCTGCACACAGGTGGGTGCGCGTAGTCATGTGTATTCATCAAAGCTTTTCTGAAAGGGCATGTTTTTGTCAAAATGCATTAAAAAACATATTTTAGGTCAACATTTTATTTGTGAGACATGTTCATGCATAGTGTGACCATTCTGTGTGTATGTGTGTGCTCGTGAATATTGTTCAGTGTGGTGGCAAATCACCGCAGGCGATGATAAGGATGAGGCTTAAGAGGTGGGCTCTCCAAGCCTAATCACTGCACCCATTTCAAAGACGAGGATGCCAATTAAAACTGATAGGGCTCAATATAGGCTTTTGGGCTGCCACAGTGAAGAGCAACACTGCCAACATGAAAATCAATCCCCCCCCCCCTATCTATGGGTTAGGAGATGAGGTTAGCCAGTCAGTGATCTGAAAGGAGTCTCTGATAAATATGCAGGCTCTATAAGGAGCTGCAGTGGGGGCAAGGGGGACTGACTTGGGGGTCATGGAGAGAACACAGAGATCTGTAAGTCCCCAATCACCGTTTGTGTGTGTCAGTGTATGTCGGAGATCTGAAGGTCTGTGATCTCCACTTCAGAAAGTGGGTGGAAAAGTGAGTTAGTGGGTCTTTGATATATTTACTCACTGACACTTTTTTAAGTACAGGTACAGATGCATATCTAATGCAACCCTATACAAAGTAAATTCCTCTGTACTTAATAAAGAGATAAAATTGCTTAATATTTCACCCTTTCTTGTGTTTTGATATGGTGAAAAAACATGATCTTTATAATATTAATGCAAACAGTAGTAGAGTTGACAGTGGTTTCACAGGTATACCTAATAATGTGGCTAGTGAGTGTATATATGAGAGTAATAAATTCATCAGCTATTAATTATGAATATTTATCTGCCACTAAGATCCATATCATACAGCCGTTTTATGTAAGAAGGGAACTGGGTATTCATATTGGTAAAGTTACTGGAGCAGTTTAAAGTTTTGGGAAGAAGTCAGAAATTAAACCATCTAGCCACAGAAATGGCATCTATACATGAGGACGACACTGATCTTCATATCTAACCCCCAGGCAAAAGGTGAAAAAGATTATACCACAAAATGTCAGATAATTATTTTAATATACAGACATGGGAATGAAACATAATCAAACATAAGCTATAAAATTAACGTGACATCAATCACAGAAAAAGGACAGCAGCAGTATGTAAAAAGATGTCATTATAAAGGACATTAATCATAGTAATGGAATGACAATAAAGACAAACCCAAAAGAATGCACATTTTCTTTTTTTTCTTTTTTTTTTTAAATATCAGTGTCTCAACATTTAGGGTTTAGAATCACGAGGAATTGCAAGGAATTATCCCACTGAAGTCAAACACTTAAGCTGTGCGCTTTCCTCCACTGTACAAGTGTTGTAGGTCACGCTCTGCTCAGGCAATTTGTGGCGACGTCCAATATCTTGCAGTGCAGGTTTGTGTGCTTGCACAGATGTGTGTGAAGACTAACGCAATCTGACAAGCTGATAACATATTTCATGTCATATCGTTTGACATCATTAACTAATAAAGATTGATTGCCCTTTGTTCCCTGTCAGAGAGTGTTTATCCTATTGCCCTGCTGCTGTTTTAGAGGATTTTTGTGGATATGTGTCTGCAAGAATGAAACAGGCAAAGAGGAGTGTTTCTGAGAAGCTTAAGGCTTTCCAAGCCATAGATCAGATGGTGGTTGGACCCAACCCTCTCCCATGATGCTCTGCAGGCGAAAATCTTTGAAATACTCTAGCCGGTGACTAGAAGACAGAAAGACAAATTTAATATATTGTGCATAAAGTAGTGAAATACACATTTATATACATGTAATTTGAAATGACAAAGTTGACTAATGTGACTCTAAAAGGTACAGATTGTGGATTGGACATAAGTACCATTTGATCTACACCTGTTTTACAACTTAAAGGCGCAGTATGCCAAATCTCATCACTAGATGTCAGTAGACTGCAGTTTCCTGTTTCCTTAACCCTCCCAATTCAAGTGCATTATTTATGTTTGCTGTAGGACAAACATGTTTTCATTTGTTTTTGCATGCGCAATATTTTAAAATATTTGGATAATATCAACATGTAGCAATAAATCAGAAAAAAAAAGAAATTTGCCAAATATTTTTGCAGTATTTTAGGTTTTTAAAACCCAAGATACCTCAAAAATTCTGGCTGCAGACTACCGTTTAACAAGTTTGAGTGTAGGCTGTCAGTCTGCTGTTTACCTCAGTTTTCAATATGCTGAGTGTCCTAGTCTATTTAACCTGGTGGAGGCTGTAAAACTTTGTGAAAGGAGTGTTATATGAGTCAGTGAACTTTCAGTGAACTTTTCTCTTGGTAAGTGGTGCTGTTGTTGCCAGTTAGCTGCTGTAACCGGCATTAGTGAAACTTGCTTTGAAGTGGATCTAACATTGTTGGACAGATAGCAAATGAACTGTCATACAATGTGAGAATGTAATCAACTGGGAAAGCATCATTTTTAGAGCCTACATTAGGTTGATTAATATTAGCTTATAAGGAGAATAACCAGAATAAATAAGCATGTTTATGCATGTTTTGTGTGTTAGAGCACTGATTTCAGTTCGTGAAATGAGACTTCAGTTGAGGACGAAAACAATGAGGTGGAAATGAGGGAGGAGAGAACAGTGGTGAAGAAGGCAGATGAAGAGGAGGAGAAAGCGATAATGAAAATATACATTTGCAAATGTTAAATAGTCCTTTGGAGTTTGAAAGAGCTATTTATGACATTTGAATTAATAGTAATACCATGAATATGGACAGTCTCTAGCCACGTATATAACATGTTATTAGGTGGAACGGCGATTTCTATCTTGGCTGCTGTTTTCAAGATGTTGCCATGGCTTCCATAAACTGGCGGCCTCTCCTATTTATTTTGTATGTATTTTATGAATATTTTAATGAATTAGTGTAAAATTCTTTTTTCTTTTAAATTTCTTACAAAATGACTTACTGTACCTTTAGAAGAATATACAAAAAAAGGTGTGATTTTGCACATGAACCTCTTTTTTCTGTCTCAGTGCCTCACGACAGCACCACTATAACATAAAATGTCTGTGCACATGACCTATGGCACATCAAACTTCACTTGTAGAAGTCAGCATACTCACAAGTTAGGCATTTGTCCTTCGGCTATCTCCTCCTTGGGGATGGGATAAAGAGCCTCATATATACGATTCTCTCCTGAGCCGTGGATCGCGTAGGAGTTCATCTTGTTGACATTGGGAGGGAAGTATGTCCAAGGGATGAGAGCCTCACCTGTCCATCTGTCTCCAGTGATCTTGGTGTTAAATACCATGGGAAGCTGTTGCTGGAGAGAGAAATCAAAAATGTAAGAAATATCCCATAAACCCAAAAAAAGCCTACGAATACCTCCATACGCAGCCTACCAGGAATGCTTGGCCGGCTCCTGACAGTAGTAATATCAGGTGTTGTCCATGCCTAAAGTAAAAACACAGGGAAGACGTGTCATTGTTCCACTGTTTATAAACATATGGATACATGGGCAGAGCAAGAGCTCAGCTTGGTACTCACGGACAAAACTCGACTTCCAGGTAATTTTCTGTAGTACTATCAAGGAAGAAGGTCTCTACAACTGATGAGATAAGGAAAAATGAAGATAAGACTTTTAATCTCACATTAATAAACTGCTTTAACTGTCTTATTAACCTTATCAGCACTTATTTTAAAAAAAAAAAGACAAAAAAGTAATAATTAAATTATTCAGGTCATTCATTTTTGACTCAGACTTTAACAGTAACATGCAAAATAACAATTACATAAACTTTTAAATACAATTATGTGAGCAGCACACTCACTAACCTAGAAGCATGCTCTTTATCTACCTAGATCATAATGGGGTTGGTTTCCAATCTATTAAGTAACATTAATGAGACCAAATATGTGGGGCTCATTAAACGGAAATCGAACTTACTTGAGGTCAATTAGAACCAATTGTTATTACTCAGCCTCATTGTGAGGTTTAATTGCTGTGTCGCCATAATAATGATAATGCAGTTACTGTAATGATCCCGTAAACAGACAGTCTCTAGTCTCTTCAGCCACAGTAGACTTTATTCATATTATTTCAGCTTGCCAAAGGGCCTAAAATTGCATCCTAGGGACTAAATTACATAATCATAACTGATGGTTCTGTAACTACGGCTACAACAAGCATGGGGACCATAAAAGTAACACATGTACAATACCACAATCTATTACAATAAGCCATAAATGTGACCTTTTTAAAGATAATGAATTTCCGTTGGAATCAGCCTTATGAAGTCTGGAGCTTGTCAGTTATATAATTGCTGTTTCTCATTTGTTAATTATAAGCGTTTAAAAGAATTGTGCTACAATTAGGGAAAGGTCTCTGAAATATTACGCTTCAGCTAGCGGCTGGTTAGCTTTTGTATATAGCAGTTTAATATGAGATGGGCCAAATGGGAACAGATTAAACAAATAAAACATAACATGTTAATTTGTGAGTTTTAGAGGCGCTGGTGAGCAGGTTTGTTTTCCAAACTGAGGTTAAAGAAAATAAGATAACAGTTTCATGGGACTAGTTTCATGTTGTATAAGTATATATGAAATTCATCAATATTCTAATTTAATATAATATGAATAAGCATACTGTGCATATATATAACAGACCGCATTTTCCTGTCAATAACAAACATTTAAAAACAGTTGAAATTATGAAACCCAATTAAGCGATTAAAAGGGGATTCTATTTTACATTAATAATTTGCAAATGGGGCTACCTTTGATACATAAACAAATTAAGGGCATAAGGCTAAAGGTGTTTTATAACATATATATATTTTATAATAGGGCTGGGTATCGTCACTGATTTCTATAACTGTTTCAATTCCAATTCACAAGGTCCCGATTTGATTCAATTTTGACTCAGTCAGAAATATTATAATTCTGATCATTTATCAGTACATATCCATATTTTTATATCTATGTAGGCAATAAAAGCAAAGCTGACACTTGTGAGACTTCATCACAGGTGTAAGAATCACAGTAAATGCCTTTGTGTCAAAGTAACTGAGGATAAAACACAGAAAAACATGAAGGAGATTTTCATGGAGTGGCTTTTTATAGCAGATAACCACCTTAAAAATATTCTGCAGTAGAACAAAAATGGAAGAAAACCACAAATCAGCATATAAACATTACCTGATGCTATTGAGGTGAAGCAGAGCAAAGTTACAGAGGTTTTATTAGAGACAGAGCTAAGCGTTTTGTAATGTATTGACAGCAGGTCTTGTCAGAGGTCTTTTTGGAAGAAAAAAAAAACAGTGGCCGATAGCACTGTAAACAACGATAGACTGATGTGTAATAAGCAAGCGAATAATTCAGAAAATAGAGATTTGTGATGGTAAACTGTTCTTAATGTACACTGAGAGAGGGAGCTGTGCAGGAAGTGTAATTTTATTGTGGTGGAAACAAAACAACCAAGGTAAGATATTTTTCAAACATGAAGCATAGTTTTGATCTTCTTTTGCTGCTGGTTCTGTGAATTTCGGTTGGAGTGACGAAACCGACAGCTTCAGAATCTGTGAGATGTCGACTTTCAGCACCCGACGACATGTCTGTGTGGACGACCCGATGGTCGCGCTTTGTGTTTACATCTTTATGCAGAATCTTTTTACTGGCTCTTTTAACCGTTTGCTGTTTTACCTGTTTGGCGGTTGTTGAAATAGTTTTGTGAGCTTTAAGCTGACATTCTGGCATTTCTGATAAAAAAATATTTCTATTTAAAAATTCAGGATATCATGAATTCATATCACATTATTTGAACTAAAATCGATTTGTTTTTTTTTTGTTTTTGTTTTTTTTTTGCACGGACTAAACCCCTAAAAGCTTGTGTCTTGTGTTAAAAGAAAGGTTGCATGGCTATGGAAGCAACAGACCAATCTACCCACCTTCATAATTCCACAGTCCAGGGAAGGCCTGGCTTGGGGGCCCTGCAGGAGCAGCCGGGTCATTGAAGAATGGACCAGACACCTCCACCTTCAGGCCTCCTAACCCAGGAGAGAAGGTGATTTTGAGGGGGTCATGATTTACAGGGTTGCTGTCCCAAGTGTGTTCGATGTCAAACTGCATTTGCGTGCGAGGACTGAAAGAAAGAAAATCACTCAGTCTTAAAATCTGCTGTGTGAGCAGCGACACAGGGAACAAAAAAGCTACAAAACTTACAGAGATTCACAGCATAGCAGAATGTGGAAAAGTGTTATAAACTGCAGTCCACGAGTCACCCCCATGTTTGTTTTCACTGGCTACAGGACAAGAGTGCTCCGAGTGCGCGTGTAATTTCTTTAAATACTCTGCGTTTCACCCTTTGATTCACCCGCAGTTTGTTATCAAATTGTGTAAAACAGAATAATGTTATCAGTAACAAGACAGTAAAATCATTTTCCTGGTAAAGCAAACGTCCGAGGATTACACTTACTTGATAAGGTCTGAGATTAAAACGACAAGCAGAGGACGATATTTTCCAACTCTATGCTGTTTACGTTTTCATGCAATATGTGGTTACATCTGTATGGAAATGTCTATCCAGCAATTTTTAAACCACTATTTGTGACACATTCTGACGAACTAGAAACCATAATCTCTTTTCACGTGATGACGTTATATATCATACCTTAACAAACAACCGAATTCAAACTGTTATATATGCAGAGTTGGCATTATTGACTTCCAAATGTATTCTACATCAGCTTCCTGATTTTTATTTTTTTTTTTAAAGGAACATCCTTTCGCGTTTCTTGTACAGACGGAATGACTTTACGGTTGCACAGCTTCTTTTCCATTGGTGCCCGTTTGTTTACTTCAAAACAAGAGGCGGAAACGAGGATTGAAGTAAAAACATCTATTATGAATTTAAAATTTCAATGCGATGCATTTGCGTATTTTTTTAAGCGCATCCTGTCTCGGAAAATGTGTTTGGTGTTTTGTTGAAGAGATCAAAACACTGAGTTGTTTTGATGAGCTTAGCCGAGATTGATTAGCTGCTTTAGCTAACACGAGCTGCACAAATTTACTACATGTAGCTAGCTAGTTTGTAGTGAACGTTTCTAGCGGCTTTGTGTCATCTTTACCTGAATTAGTACATTCTTAAACGACAGTTTTCTCTTCGTGTTCCGAAACGTTAACTTGAAAAGAACCCCTAGATTAGTGGTGCCAGGTTTGACAGGCTTTAAGTGTTCGTCTTTAGTTTTGGTAGTGGTGGCCGTTTTTGCCAGTGCAAATTCTTTTGCTTCTCTTTAGACGACATCGTAAGCATGGAGGCAGAACTGGAGTTTTTGCGTGATCAAGGTGAGACGAAACTTGGAAACTACATGCATATTTTTCTGTTACGCCGTCTAGTCCATCAGTTTTTGACACTGTTCTATGTTAATTTCTTTTTTAAGCCATAGGTGGTCCCTGTATAAAAATCAATCAGTTATATGGCGTGCATTTTTTGGATGTTTACAGTCTTCTGCTTGTGATGATCACTAGAACATCTCTGCTTTTTTGTGTAAGTGTCCTCGTTTTTGTGTCATTTCAGTCCGCAGGCTAAATTCTGCTCTCAGCCAGTATCAATATGGGCACGGTGCTCTGTCCACATCTTCTCAGGTACGAAGACATAAGATAAAATGGGATATGATAACTCTTTATTGTCATTGCACAGTCATACTTGGTACTATAGTGCAATGAAATTAGAAACCGTCCCATTTCGGCACTAAGCACAACACAGTACACTTCAAAGTGGATTTTTCAAAAGTGCAAAAAAAGTATGACTCAATAAATTAAAGAATGAATGTTTATTGCACATT